TTTGTGAATTTTACCGAGGTGCAGAAATGCTAAAGAATTATCGAGTAATATTTTTAATTAGCTATAATGCCATTTTATCTGCTTTGTTATAATTTTTAATTTTTTTAAAAAATTGTTTAGAATATTAATTATATGGGATTTAAAAAAATCCTTGAAAAATTTGATATGGTAAAAATCAAAATTTGCTGCTAAAGTTTGTTCTCAATTAAAAGCTAATAATTTATTGTTTTAGATTACAAAGCTAAATGGAAATGAAATTTATATGCAAAAAATTAATAAAAGTAGTTTTGTAAAAAGTAAGCCATTAGATGTATTAATGAGAGACACTGAGGTACGTATTTCAAAATTTGTCAATTTTAATTTTTATTTTATAAAATTATATTAATTGATAAGCTTCATCCTATTAGTATATTTATACTAAACTTTTTGGCGGTAACTCTCGATCACACGCAATAAAAAAACTTAGAACCCCTAATAGAAAGCACAAGGTAAATAAACAAACCTAGATCTATTTTTAAGAATATGTATTTAATACCAAAATTTTTCTTGATAGACTTATTACCTTCCTACAATACGATCAGGGATATACATTGGTTTAGCAACTCTTTCCTTATACAATACCTTAAAATATGGTAATTTGATATTTTTTTCATTTCACTTTCCATAGTTTTATATTAATGTATATAAATTTGTACTTAACATGCTTAGTAATTGGATCTGAAGCAGGAATACAACAATTAAGTTTCTATGCCGGAATGATTCTCCCAGCAATTCTTTTGTTGCTTATAGGTGTTGCTATGTACATTTGGACAAAAATGCACATTAATTATAAATTCATCTTTGAATTTGACCCAAGAAATAATCTGGATTTCCGTCAATATATCGAGGCAATTACTAATTATTATATTATTTAGTATATGCTAAAATTTTCTTTACTAATTATTATTTCTCATTCATTATAGATTCCATCATTTATGCTTATGGTTATTTGTTCCGTGGCATATTTTGAGGTTACGAATTCATTTGGAATTCAGAAATCTTATTATTCACTGATTTTAGTACTTATAATTCTCGCTATTGTTTTTTGTCCTTTTCGAATATTTTATTACAATGCAAGACGTTGGCTTATTTACAGTCTGGTATAAAATTTATCAATATTTGATGCACGCAAAACTTATTGTAGAATTAATTTATAATATTTGTAATATCATTGATAGGGTCATATGGTTATATCACCTTTTGTTGGTATTGAATTTCGAGATTTCATCTTTGCCGATCATCTTAACAGCTTGGCTTATTCTTTAGTTACTCTGCAACTAATTCCTTGTTTTATATGTAAGTTTTATAATTAGAAAATTTAATTTTTTAGTTTATTTTATAACTTTTATTTATAATTTAATTAAAATTTTTCAATTATTGAATTATATTAGCACAAGAAATTTGTAACTTGACTATCATAATAACACCACTCGCTCCAATTTTGGGTTCTTTTGGTTCTGCAATGAGAGCTGTTCAATGTATAAGACGTTATTATGACACCAATGCAGTAATACATCTTGGAAATGCGGGCAAATATATTTCCATGGTGGCAACTATATGCTTGATCTTTTATTGGAGATATACAGGTTTATAATAATATTTTTGCATTTTAAATTTTATAAAAAACCAATCTAAATTTATAAAAAATTTTTTTGCAAAATAGTTGTTTATGATGCAGATAATTATAATAAGATCCTTATTTCTAAAATTCTCTATATTATTGTACAAATTATTTCAACCATTTATTCTAATATATGGGACATAAATCAAGATTGGGCATTATTACAATTTCATAGTTCTAATTTTTTGTTAAGAGATGAATTGGGTTATAAGCATAAATGGATTTACTATATTGGAATGTGTAACAATACATTTTTGAGGATTACTTGGATTTTATACTTTATTTCTGATAATTTTTCAATCCGATTCATTGTTGCCTTTGGAGAAATGCTTAGGTAACCATTTTATTTATTTATTTATTTTTTATGATCAATCCTTTATTACTAAGATTATAGTTATTAAAAATTGCATTTATTATTATTTATTTTTTTAAATATATAGGCGTTGGCAATGGGATATTTTCCGTGTTGAAAATGAACATGTTATAAATTGTCAAGCAGAACGTGCAATTAACGAATTAAAATTACCAACAATTTTTGATTCAACTACTACAGAAAAAATACAAATTCAAAAAAGTCCAATATCACCAAAATTAAATAGACTAAACTCATGGAGGGATTTCGAACCAAAATTAGATAAAAATGAAGATGTCTACACACAGGATGATGATTATGATGATGATGATAATGATGACGATAATGATACTTTTGATAATTTTGATAATAATGATGGTTGTGAAAAAAATAGTCACTTAAATGATATTACAAAAAATAACTTGGATCACAAAAAAAAACAAGGAGATGAAAAAAGTAATAAAAATATTAACACTGAATCAAATAAAAAATTAAAAGTAATTGACCACATTGAAATTCATATAGAATGATTTTATAGCTAATTTATGAACAAAAGTCATACAGACAAGGTTGATAGTTTTAATTAAGCTGGAGATAAAAAATACACGATAATCAAAAGAAGTCATAGTTGAAATCTAAATAATTATATGATAAACTAAAAATTTCTAAAAAGAAATCAAAGTTAAATTTAATAAAATTACTATATAGCATTTATTTTAATAATTGTCGGATGAGTCTGTTTTTGGGCGGGGAACGGGCCGGGCTAAACCCGAAAATTGGCGAGCCTGATCGGGCTTTGGTCAAGTTCGGGCTCATAATTTTGAGCCCACAACAGGCACAAATAGGGCTAGCTAAATATCGGACTGGGTTCGGGCTTAATAAAAAAGCCTGATCAGGCCCGATACTACCCGGTAAACTCGTAGTCAAAATTATGACCCAAGTAAATTAACCAATTAAATATAAATTTCAAAGATTATCTTGCTCTATTATAATAAAATGCCTTTTTCTTTTATTATGAATACTATTACAATGATTTTTTCCTAATAGGTTCAAAGTTACAGTATTTCAGATTTATTAGTCAGATTTTATTCACAGTTATTTCAGGACCCCTGAATACAGCATTCTTTTATCAATGAAGCCTCCACGAACAAAGGCCATTTCCGTACAGATCAAATTTATAAATT